TACTTAAGTTTGTCCTTGATTCTTTGTTATTACCTTAAGTATTTTTTTTTCCCAATTATTTTTCCCCTTTCCTTTTTTTTAACTTAGCAATTCATTAGTTTTTAGGCAATTAACAGTAACAAACTATTGATAATGATTCTAATAGATAGAAGTTATTATCAATCTATTAGGAAAGTGAGATATTGTTTTCAAAATCTGATCTAGGATACTTTTATATAAAGATGAGTTAGTTACTTTGTGAAAGTCTGTAAAATATTGTAAATTTATTTCAATTTTTCAATAAAGATATACTATTGTGGCATAATTGCGAATTTAAAAAAAAAAAATAAATTAAATTATTTATTAGATAGAGGCAACTTTATACTTTGAGTATTGAAGTTAGTTAGAGATATGTGTATAACTTTTTAAAGTTGGAAATAATATGACATATTTGAATAAAGTAAGAAAAATAGTTCAATTAATAAATACCTTATATCAGATAAATATAAAAAAGCTATACTTTAATTAAGAAAAAATAGTTTAATGTATATAAATTAACTAATTAATGTAGATACTAAAGAAATACAAAACTGGAGAATATTATAGCTTATATAGAATGTGAGTAAAGGATTAGTTCCAGAATAGTATCTAGTAATAGTCAAGACTATACAAGAAAAAGGAATAGAATAGCTTACCAGATCTTGAAAGGTGGATTGGATAAAATGAAAACCCAAATACCCAATAGTGAAATATGATCATGTTAAATGACATATGTTATATATTGTTATAGGAAATAAAAAAGATCAAATTATTTGAAAAAAGCTAATAAGAGAGAGTATAATAGATAATATAGAAATAAAACATTTCGATTGTTCAGTAGTTGAAAAACACCAATAAGTAACAAATCTAATAAAATGTCTTGGATATCTAGAAAATATTAAAAAAAATAACCATTGTATAATAACAAAAAAAAGAGACAGAATATATATAGTCCTAGAAAATCCATCAAAAGAGTATAGATACTAAAGATTCCAAGGAGCAAAATAACTATGGAAAAAAAAATACTTAAGGTAATAACAAAGAATCAAGGACAAACTTAAGTAGTCAAAGTAATAAATATAGAGATAGAAAGCTAGAAAGAAAAAATTATTAGAGACAATATAAAAGAAAATGCATATCAATCCCACTTGATAGAAATACTTCAGCAAAATTAGAAGTCAAATAAAGTAATTACCTTCTATTTTAATGAATCACCAATTGATTATGAAAGTGAAAAAATAAAAATTGGAGTAGTATGGATTCAAATAGAAGAAATAGGAAGAGAAAGTAAATTTTAAACAGGGTAGAAAACTGGCTATCATTATTAAGGGCAGAAATAATAGTAATAATTACTATATTACTAATTGTTCTTATTGAAAGTAGAATCAAGATCTATACAAACAGTCAGCCTGTATTTCCAAATAGAAGGAACTGAAGGAAAAAGGTTTCAAAAAGATACATAAAAGGTAATTGAAAGAGAAAATTTGGTTTCTATAGATATAAATACTAGATTTTTTTAAAAAAAAATACTTGAACATGAAACTGATCAATATTAAGATCTATTCTAGTAATAAATATAATAAAGAAGTAGATACCATAGTCAAAGAAGTGCTTTAACTTCTTATGATAGAATAGAAGGATCTTATATTATCCAAAATTATTACAAAAATTAAATGACAAAATATAATATTGGATATTTAATTAGGTAATTCATAAAAAAAGTAAATAGCAAGATAATAGTTTATTAATAAATGCAATAAAATAGAACTCAGGAAAAATAGAATCAACAAATACAAGATTAGTATAAATATATATAAAACCTTATATGAGATAAAATGAAGGATAAGTATATATAGAACACTTTCTTCAAAGACTCTCACAAAAAAGTTTTCTTGTAAAATTGACAAATAATGAGTTACTAACTTTGACAAAACTAGAAATTGTATAGAACTTATAAAAAATAACTGATCTATTATAATGGCTGATCTCAAATGTTGTAATTAAAGAATAGGATAAAAAGTTTGTAGATGGATTATAAAAATATAAAAGAAAGTTTGTAATCATATTTAAAAGAAGATCTAAAATAAAAGATATATAAAAGTAATTGAATAAGAATAGTTACAGGGAATTAACAGAAAGAATAAAGTAAGAAGATCAAGCCTAAAAGATTAAAAGATCAAGATTAAGGTTAAAAAACTATTAATTCTTGAAGAAGAAAGATTGAATGACAAGAATCTGAAGTAGATATTGATAAAAGGAATTGAATACTAAATGAACTGGTTGAATTTTGATTTCTGTTAAAGTTTCACAAAGTGATTTGCAGTAGTAATCTATAAACAATAATACTAATGGTTAGAAAAGTATTTATTTGAATTATTGGTGAAGTGATAAATTGCTTCTGAAGTTACATTTAGAATAACAATAGTCAATACAAGTAAGTTAGTTAAAGATTTAACTTTAGTATCATATTATATGTAAAGTTTATAAAATGTTTAATAAAGTACATATAACTAACCTGACAGAGGAAAAAAAATTAAAATATATTATTGCGAATATTTAATATAAAATTTTTTTCTACTAATCCTCTGATTATACATAAAAAAGATATTGCAAGAAGTTTTTATATTTCTTAGTTATATAAATATTTTTTATAAATAATTAATATATCAATAAAAAAGTTTGTCATATTCTGATTTTTTTATTATTTGAATCTATTTATATTGAATAAATGATAGTAATATTAAAAAATTCTCAAATATTTATTGAAATTTTATAATTACAAAAAGGTTTAACATATTTTTTTATCAATTTTATTTATTTGAAATTAAATTAACATATCAAAATCATTGAATTTAAATGAGTAAATTAAATTTGAATACAGGATACTTGTAGTGACTTATTAATGTTATTAATTTTAAATAAATAAATTTAAATAAGTTAATCTTATTAGCAAAGAGTTTCTTCTGGAGACTTATTATACTATACCTTACAAATTTTTATTTTGTGATTTTGATTGCCATATACTATATATGCAGTATACTGTATCTAATTATGAGATATTAAATTCATGGTTTATTTTTGAATCTATAGTATTTTAATTTTTTGTTTTGTTTATTATAAATAGATATTTATTAGATATTGATAAAAAATATATATCCATTTTTAAAGATTTAAAATATATTATTTTCTAGCTACAGTGGAATTTAAAATTTTTTGTTTACATTGATTTTTGTTTTCATTTTTTCGTTGTGATTACATTGCATGAAGGCACCGTACACCCAAAAGTTTTGATTTCAACAAAGTACTTGTTTATTAAGATTGCGAGAAAAACATTCGCATCAAATCATATATCCAACAACCTTCCGTCTATCCATTTACAATAAATATGATCTATTATCTCGCTGAGGAAGTTACACATCATAAAAATGTCAAATGGTGTAATTAGAATGAATATATAGTGTGTACCATATACATAAGCAGTTGGATTGCATCTTAGGTATTGTTTGTTTGTTTATTGATTTTAACTCACCATTCCGAGTCTGCTTGAGAATGGCAATTAAATTGATCGAGATTCGCAGAAGCCAGAAAACTAATTACATTTCTTCGTAACACAATACCTTTTAGAGTTGGTGTTTTGTTCGTTTCACCGCAATTTCATGTGGACCTCGCGATGCTGCAAGGTGATCAATCGTGAATTGAATACAGACTCCGGAGTCACGTCGAATTCTCAGTTTACATCTGATCTTTAGATTGTTCGTCATGATTTTTCCTCCAACATTCTTTAAACTTAGCCATCTCAGCTTTACATAGCCTCCAATCTCGTTTGTCCGCGAAACACAACTGTAATTCTTGATTTTCTTGAGAACATCCGCTCTTAATAATTATTTCATCATATTCTTCTGATTGCTTTTCTTGCTGCCGACTATGAGGGTTCGCGATGAACGGTTGTTTCGATTGTTCTTCGGTGGACATTGCGTTTTCGAAGAGCGGAGTTTGAAATTACCATTAATACGTATGTAGGATATGTGCGAATCTGATTGGATGTGCCAAGTGATTATTATTACCTTAAATAACATTTTAGATTCATCCTATTTTTAGACATCTAACACACCAACTATGGATGTTTGTGCGTCTATCACCTAACTGAAAAAGGGTTGAGTGGAACGTTGTTTCAACTTTCACCTATAGATAACCTTCATTTCGTGTTTCAAAGGCATTAATCGGTGCTTCTCTTAAAACCACCAAATGACACGACCTCGCAAAAGAAAGTCCAGACAACAATCAACCGCGCGGCCAAACCATAAGTTACCACCCGAGCTCCTCACCGAGATATTTGAGTATCTTCGTGGAGGCATATTAATCCTAGACGAGCCAGCCCTCGAATCTGAAGTACCTAATGCGTTCGACGACCTTTTCTCTCGGGAGAAGTCGGACCTTTTCAGGGTTTCGATGGTTTGTTCGGTGTGGAGAAAAATAGCGGTGTCAAGGATCTGGCAGAAAGTAAAGTTTCAACTTGATGTAGAGCGTGAGTGGGACGAGTTATTTAAGTGGCTTATTGAGGGGGGTTATGGCATATACGTGAGGCAAATCTATGTTGAGTACGACTATGATCCCAAACGCAATGAAACCGCCAATTCTTTGGGAGGGAAGTTGGAAGGAATTGTGGAATTTTGCAAAACTGTCCCTAGCATGCACACCCTTGCAGTAAGGTTCATCTCCACCACCCTCGATCATTACATCAATGAAGATCTTCCTCCAGTGATGGATGGTTTCCTCCTTAACATTGCTCAATCGTGTGGATCTGTTCGATGTGTCAAGATTCATACCTCTGGTTTACGAGGGCCGAAGAGGGAAAAAAACAATGATACCCTTTACCTACCATCCGTCAGTAAAGTCATCTCCATGATGACAGATACCGTCCGAGAGATTGACTTAATGATGCACGTCGTGAATCAGGAAACGGTTGAGGCTCTTTGCGATTGTAAAAGGGTCGAACGCGCTTTGGTTCACTGTTGTAGCTGGAGTGATTCACCCGGAGACTTTTTCGCATTACTAAAGTCGTGGAAACACCTGAGGAAATTACAGATCGAACCTCCGCATAACACGGATTCCAGTTGGGAGGACGCCTATACCAAATCCCTCCAATACCTCTCCGAAAATTATGGAGAGCAATTGGAAGAGTTATGGATGCCCTTGAGGGAGGAAGATCAAAAGTTATTTTGCGACCTCGTTGAACACACTCCGAACCTGAAAGTGCTGGCCTTGGAGGGAAGAGAATTTTACAATGACGGACATTTTTTAAGCGTGGTAGCAAGAACCACTCCAAATTTGAATTACATGCATCTATCGGATTTTCCTTCCATCAGTGGTGGGGATGTCAGAGTCGTCAACTGGGATCAGTTGTTGGACGTCAATATAATGTGTTGTGAGGTGTTAGAAAACAAGTCGAAGTTCTTTGACCACGTGAAAGATACATACTGTCCCCATCTTAATATTCACATATATGATAAGCATGGAAAGGAAGTGGAGACTAGATAGGCGATCAACTAATGGGATCATTATCGGCCGAAGGGCAATACGGGAGAACATGATTTTCCTAATGAGTAGCTTGCTTCGATTTGCCTTTCTCTAAATCCGGGATAAGGAATTCATGTAACATTGATTTTTTTTTTTTTTTTTTTTTTAATTCTATTTTATTTCTGTCTTCTTTGGGAATCTTGTGGAATGGGTTATACATAGGATTATTGTTTGTTGTCTTTTTTTTTTTTTTTTTTTTTTACTCTGGCTGTACTCTTTTTCTTTTTATTATAACTTGACAAGTGTAATTTTATGGTTTGATCAACCATTCTGATTTTATTTATGCCTTGAAGACCAGCTGATCCGCTGCGAATAGGCAAATTGTGCGTGGAGTTTTAACGATAGAGTGTCGAGAATCGGATGTTTTTAGTTCGCAAAAAGACTAGTGGAATTGGTTATCAAAAAAAAAAAAAAAACTAGTTTATTCTTTCGAGCTCCTAGTTTTGTCATGTGATTAATGTTCATTACTAAAGCTAAAAATAAAGTTTATGCGTATTTGTTTGCAAAGAAAAAGAATGTCTTTTCGTACAAAATTCATTGAATTATTCAAAGAGATTGGCGTCAAATATCCAATCGTTTCCGCTCCGATGGCCTATGTAACGAGTGTAGAATTGGCTACACAGGTTACTCGGGCTGGAGGATTAGGGTTCATTCCGGCGGGTAATAAAAAAACGAATCTCCATATTTCTACATACATTTTTTGGTTGCTTTTTCCAGAGTTCAAATCGGTTCGAAAACGTACCATACAGGAGTTTCAACTGCCGAGGGTTTAGACCAAGATCTCACGAGAGCGAAACATTTGTTTGATAATGGCCCTACCGAAATTCTTCCAATTGGAGTAGGATTTTTTAATTTCATTCTCGATTCGCAAACTGGAAGAGACGAAAAACACGTGCCTTCCGCCCTAAAGACCGTCCTCTCCCATAAGCCGGCCGCCGTCTGGTTCACATTCGGTGACTTTCACAGGTATTTGTCCATTGTTCGTGAGATGTCGCCGAAGACCAAAATATTTTCTCAAGTTAATACAGTTGAGTCAGCCATCACTTCGGCAAACTTGGGAGTGGATGTCATTGTAGCTCAGGGATGTGATTCGGGTGGTCACGGGTTGGCCAATAATGCAAGCGCGCTAACCTTGGTGCCTGAAACAATCGATGCCCTCAATGATTGCAAGAACGGTCACATACCGGTATTAGCTGCTGGCGGAATTATGGATGGACGCGGTTTGACCGCTATGCTCGTGCTTGGTGCATCTGGTGTAGTGATGGGGACCCGGTTCGCAGCATCCAGGGAAAGTCTTTCAAAACCTGCTGCAAAAGAGATGCTCGTGAACGCGCGTGATGGGGGTGTGTGTACAGTGAGAACCAGTGTTTTTGATAACCTGAAGCAACCAAACATATGGCCTAAAAAGTTCGATGGAAGAGCTTTAAAAAACAAAACTTTCGAAGAAGGTGACATTGATTTTGGTGATGAGGAGAAGACGGCGGAGAGAAGAAGGATCTACTCGGATGCGGTGAAAAATGGCGATTATTCTCGCGCGGTATTGTATCAAAAATAATAAGCGCCTAGTTCACTGGTCCGCGCGCGGGAGCACACCAAGTCTTACGGCTGCATCATACTAAAATTTATAGGTGATTTATGCGGGAACGGGTATCGGACTTGCAAAAGAAATCATGTCGGCCAAGGTGAACTATTGACATACGTATATATATAGTATATGGATACTGAGTATACGGTGTACTGACTTAATCTGTCGCTCACAGGAAATTATTGAATCGACGATGAACGAAGCTAGAACTATAATGGGAAGCGTTGCAAAGCTTTAGAAAGTATGATACCGATATTTTTACATTCATAATTTACTAGTATGTCTTTATCAAATCACATCACACTCTACTCATGATTTTCATTCATTCAGGATCAAAAAGACTTTCAATTGACTCGCGTTCCCAGACAAAACCGGCTGCATTTCTGTGTCCACCGCCTCCCAGCGCTTTCGCGATCAAAGAAACGTCTGTCTTCTCATCTAAACTTCTCAAACTTACGCCATACCTCTTCAATTTTCCATCATAAAAAAATATTAAACTAAAGTCAACACCCTCCTTTTTCACGAGAGCATGACCCAAGTCCGATTGCCATAGTGAAGAATTGATAACATTTACGTTATAGGTTTTGGTAATGGGTTGATTGCTGGAATCAACTGTGGTGACGGTCATTTTGCGCTCAAACGCCTCCCTTGTCTTCATCGATGAGATGCGAGAGTCGACGTAGTTAAGGATTTGACTACCCGATTCTATCGCTTTCTCAATTAGACTCTATAAATAAATAATATGAGTAAGATCTATCGCAAGTTCAATGAAAGGAGTACACCGCCCACCTATCATACTCCTACCTCATCTTTCACATATTGATCGTATGCCTCAAATTCGTAAGGAATGCTTGACCAAAAGATTGAGAACTCGCGAGATTTCGGCAAGGAAAATCTCCATAAATCCTAGTCAAGTGAATGAAGGATACGAATATATTTGGAATTCGTGCATACACATAGAAATCGTCGTTTCCGTCTAACCCGAATTGCTCGAACTCACCCTGTCCTCGATATATCGAATTAATAGCGGAACCTCTTTGTCAGGCCAAAAGAATTCCCATGCCAATCTGGCACCGCTCTTGTCCATATCAAAAAAATAATTCTTGCTATTTTCGCTGTGAGTCGAATGATCGCCTAACAACTCGTTTCTGGCAGACTTGTGGTGATCAACTATTGCCAGTGATTTTGACTGTTTTTCAAGCTCGGTGAGAATTGATCTTGGATACGCAAAATCGAATATTCCAACATTTTTATCTTTGAGATCATTTGGCGGTGGCGTGCCGTGTATCGCAGGGTAGTAAGTCGCGTTGTTTCCAAGACGTTTCCATGCCGAGTATGCTGCGCCGAATCCATCGGCTTACGTGTTTTAACAGAAATTGTCGCGAACTGATGAGGGCTTGAACAGGCAGGAAACGATAACCAATTATACCAAGAGGAAAGTTCTTACAGCAATCTTTATGGTAAATGATGTAATTTAACTTTCCGGGATCAATGTGGGAAAGTATCCTCGCGGAGATCTCTTTCTTTTTTTTTTTCGAATTGAATATCAAAATGTAAACAGGATCATCAGTTTTTCAAAAGAAGAAGTAAGCGATCTCACCTTAGAAGTCATTGCGTGGAATTTTGCGATAAACGGTTGTCGACGGAAATTAAACTGAGAGCTTACTCGGAAGAACATTTAAACTCAGCACGCGGTGCGATCTACATTCATTCGGTGGCATACATAAAAGCACGTGACGTATCAAGGAAAGCATTGTATTGCTATTGCTGCAATCCTTTTATAGACTGTGTAATTTTATCCTAAAAAACGAATTTTATTTACAATAATAGTTCAACAAGATTTGGTTAGATTAGCCTAACCCATCCGTGGTTTGTTTGTTTTTTTTTTTCGGATAGAAAGGAGCCTATATATACAGTACATCGTCGAAAGGAACAGGAAATGAAAATTGATTAAGAATTAACTACTCCGATATTTTGCGGAATTTCAAAAATTAAGACAAAGAATTAATAAGGATTAGTGGACCAGGAAAAAATAGAGAAAAAGATGAAGACGAATAATATGTGTAGGTGGGATTAAGTTCTAAGCATTCACGTCTAAAGGAGATATGCCACCGCGGGAGACACCAAGAATCGACGTGCCAGAGACTCTTTTTTTTTGGTGTGTGGCATGGGCAACAAAATTTTTAATTTTCGAATTGGAAAGTAGAAGGTCATTTGCTTTGGAGTTCCAGATGATGCGAAAGGAGAAACGATGATTGCATGGATTTCTGATTGAGATATCGCATGAATCAAGTCATCGAGGGAGAACAAAAAAATTCACATTCGTGATGGAAAGTGAGGTGAAAAGGTGAAACGGAGAATAGCCCTTTCTTGATCACCTCGAGACTCGGGTGGTGGATAAGGGATCCTGGATTACATGACCACCATAAGTTTTCTTTCTCGGTCAAAGTCACGATGGCACTCTAAAAGTTGAGGTGTGAGTGTCGATAAGTGAAGCGTGGGCCTGAGATCGAATATCAAAGGCACACCTGATAAGTTTTTCGGCACCGAGAATTACATGATCAAAGCAAATTAACTTAACCCCTCCTCCAATGAAAAAATGTGTAATATATATACAGAAAATGACTACAAAAATAATATTCAACTTTTTTGGGGGTGAGTATTATCAATACGGTGTACAGGACGAATTTGGTTCGCAGGTACGTTTATTCCGTAAATTCTTTAACTCCTCAAATGTGCCTTCTACTGGTTCGGTCGTTCCGTCTCTCCAAGGTCGCTTAATCACAACATCTGATGGGCTCTCAATCGAGGAATTTATATCACCAGAGGAGGTCCCACCTGCCATTTGATAATTAGAATGATAAGTATCTTATTATTCGGACCGTTAGCGATTTAATTTGTTGAAAATTTTCTAACCACTTTTTTTCTTTTCTTTTCTTTTTTTTTTTTTGATCAAAATAATTATACATTTTTAAGTACCTTGAGCTACTCTCAACAACACATTTTTCCTAAATCTAGAAGCCGCATCTCCTTTAAGAGCATTTCCTTGCTTAGCTTTCAACCTTCGAACCAATAACACTCTACTTGTGACAGCCGCAAAGTTTTCCTGTGGTAACGCCGAAGTGGTGGTTCTCGGTGGAAAGGCGGTACGAAACTCGTTTTCTTCGGGATCCCAATCGACGGCGAGATAATTTTTGCAGGAAAATTGTGAGGAGAAATGAGAACAGTTATGAATCTTTCGTCGTTTTGAGAATTCTGAAGGCACTAAACTTAAGGGGATATGTTTCTGAGGAACCACTAATGAGGTGGTTGGGTTTCCACGCTTTCTTTTTAATTTTTGTTTGCCACCAAATGCCGGCCACCAACCATGGTTGTTAACAATATATTGCTGAAGCTTCAGTGGTTTCAAAAGTTTTGCCGTGTCAGCTGGAGGTTTTGGTAGTTGAGGTTTTGGAATTACCGATGTCCACTCCAACCAACTTCGTGAAAAATAATCTGACGAGCTGTCTTGTGATGACTCGAATATGCTCTGCGGGTGCCTCTCGGAAGTTACAAATGGCGCCATGGTGGGGTTTGCGAAACGGAAAGTCTCAAATATCGCCAAAAAAAGTGCCAAGACTGATTCGTTTTTATGAAAAATCGATCTTTATACGGATAGTATTAGTTACTAAAGGAGATCAAAAAATCGAAAAGTAATTACCAAATAGTTATTGAGAGAATTTCCTTGTTATGAAAAAATGTTGATGCTTCACTAACATCATCATACCTTCTAAAAATGCTGCATGACAGTGAATCCCTCGGTGACACAACAATATAAAAACAAAAGCCTGAATTTGAAGAAAAGTTGGATTACGTACTACCTGTTTGGTTGCGCAAATTGATGAAAAAAATCAAGAAATTTATTTTTTTTCCCTAAACACCAATCAATTTTTAACTTTCCGAATTCAGATCAATATTGACGTTCGAATCGTTAAAATCCCGGCAAAGTATTATGGACAAGCGTGTATTCTGAAGTTGTCATCAGAGGATGTGCTGCTGATTACCTTTAAAATTTGGACTGCACGAAAAATCCAGGAGAAACCTGGGGTGCTTTTCTTTTACTTGTTTTTTTTTCGAAAGGATAGAATAAAGGTAGCTCCTGTCGACAAATAAGTATTGCATCGTTTTGCATTGTATAAATGGAGAATGAAACACCTCGTTCGAGATGAATTAACTATATTCTACATTAAGTGTTTACTAATTATACATACAGTGTCAAGTGTGGTGGCACTGTGATGAGTTTTTCATTCAGGGGCGTTTCCAATTTCGTGGAAGTTTGCATTATTTGCTTTAACGTCATGGATATGTGGTAATGGTGGTAATGTGGGACAAACCGCCAATCTTTGACTAAATTCTATTATGATAAGGCGCATAAATGTCATTTTTGATGCGCAAAAAGCGCCAAAAGACCAAATCGAACGTCAACAGGAAATCTTCCCGGGTCTCACCCCAATTACGTCATTAACAAGAACTTAAATCATGTATTACATGACTTAATAAGAATCCGGAATTAATTTCATTGCATTGTGAAATACATTCAGCCAATGAGAATGTACCGTATCATATCGACCAATTAAAATAAAAAATTCAATATATTATATGAGATTTGGTTTGATTAAAGAAATTTGGTTTATAACAATTAGCATTATTTAATTTTTTTTTTTATTATATTATACGAGATACTGGTTCATTCTATATTATTTGGTTTATAATAATTAGTATTTTGATTACTTTGTTTTATTTAATTTTTTTTTTATTATATTATTACTGTATATCAATATTAAATAAATTAATTGAAAATTTTATATAAAATTAACTTTATTTTGGATCCGGAATTTGAAACATATTATCATATTTTATTAATAAAATTGAATTCGAATAAAAATAATTGAAAATGTTATATAAAAATAAACTTTATTTTGGATCCGGAATTTGAAACATATTACTCTAACCCGCGATCAGATATGTTTGTCCTACCAATTGCTAAATTGTTGGAATCGAATTATATAAACAAAAAAAAAATTTAACAATATATAAATATGCTATAAAAAATATTTAAAAACATATAAAGAATATTTAAGAATATATAAATAAACATGTGAATTAATAACATAATAGTAGTTATCAAGTACTATTTTATATTATCTAAGCTCAGATAATATAAAAAGATCTTATTTGTTTTACAATAATGATTTAATAATTATACTGTATATTAAAACATTATTTAATTATAATAAATTAAAAAGATTACAAGATATTTTAATTAATTTTAATATTAAAATTATCTTGTTATATAATAGATTCTTATAAGTTCAAATAAATAGATAAAGAATCAATAATTATAAAAATAAGAATTTAATTATATCTAAATATATTAGTTAAAAAAATATCATTTTCTAATTAAATATTTATCTAGAATTTTATATAATTATTCTATAAATAAATTATAATAAATTATTTGAAAAAGATTTATGAACCTATAATATAGTAATAATACTTTTAAATTATAATTGCAAGATTCAAAATTTAATATTATTTAAAGATCATAAAAGAAAAATAATCAAGTTGTATAAGAATAAAAAAATTTGATCTGATCTTATTATTAATTACTTGATTGAAATTTATCTATTATAAGAATTATATAAAAAAAGATTTTTAATTTGATTATATAAATCATATTCCACTTATTTTTTTTAAATTAAACAAAAAACAAATCTTAGAATTCACTTTTAAAACTATAATAACTTTTTAAACAATTACTAACTCCAAACTATATTAGCCAACTTTAAAACTTTATTTTCAAAATTATAATAATTATTTAAATATTTTCTATCTCAAATTATATCAATAGACTTTAAAATCTAACTATCTTAACTTAGAATATTCTAATCTAGTATCTACATAAATAAAACATTCATTAAACAAAACTTATCAGTAATATTATAAGGGATAACAATAAAAATAAAAAAAATTTTTAAGATTTAAATAAAGTATTAAAATATTTGAATAATTAAATATGAATAATTAAATCATTTTTAAAAATTTATCTTTGATATATAAACTAGTATACATAATATAGTAAAATAAAACTAATATATAATTTTAAATTAACTATATCAATAATATTATTGATAATTATATATTAATTATTCAACTTTTAATTAAGTTTACTCTTTTATAAAGAAATAACAAATTTATTTAAAATAAATTACCATATATAGTATTATTATTAATTCACATATAATATATATAATAATTAATATTAGATAAAAAAAAAAACTCTTTCCGTTGATCCACTATTTTTCTAAAAATTTCCTTTTTTGATAATTCTTTAGAGAAAAAGGATGACACAATCCAAGTTCAGCAAACACAGTAAAGAGAAACACAATTACATCACTTTACTTGGAGCAACACATAAAGCTCTATAAACAAGCCGTCAGGAGAAGAGTATATAATAATAATATTAGTACTTTATCCACCAACTTTTGAGAAAAAGGAAAAACAAAAGTAAATCTGAATCACAGTAAGGTCAAGGGACCCAACATCAACTCTCCTA